AGTATATTGATTTATTAAATTCAGGTTAAATAAAGTAGACATTATTCAATCAACACATTAATTGATATTTTCCATCAAAGCACATTTACTTGGCCAAATGTTTCTGAGTGATTGGCGGCAATTTTTTTGGCTAGAAATAAGTACATTAAAACCTATTATACTTTATATTACGAAACAGACCAAATTTTTTAGAAAAATAATTGCATTTCATTTCAAAGGATTCGAGTTAAATTTCAGAATGTATTACATTGGTATGAAATTTTAAAACCAGGTAAAATTTGTTTATTTATTTATTTATTACATTTATATATTTATGTATTTATGTATTACATTGCTATGCAATTTTAAAACCAGGTAAAATTTATGTTTTAAAAAATTATTTCTACGCCTTTTTCTTCTTCAGGTAAAATATATTATCAAATCCTCTCCATTTGTTAGTTAGATATCACTGCAAGTAGAACATTATTTCATTGGAATAACAACTTTATTTAAAAACTTATTAAGCAGTTCAAATTTTGCCCTCCAACCAACGAAGAGAAATTTTGGTTTGAATTTCATGAGTCATACGAAATATATCGATTGACATTCAGATAAAAATATGGGGAAAATCTTTGAGAAATGCAAAACAATTAATTCCAACTTACCCGAATGGCGGGTTCATCAAGATGACGCAAAAATCATTTGACCTAATAAACACTGATTGTGTAAACGTACTAAAAATTCATTAATCAACCTTGTGGAACAATTTGCGAAAAATTGGATAGAGCATATTCTAATAATGTGAATTTACTAACTGACATTCAGAAATCGAATTATTCCAAGTTTCATGTAGTCCTTATTGATGGCATCTCGCCATTCACACAATTTAATGAATTACACATATTTTATCCAGTTTCTTCGAAACTGGTAGAAATAGAGTTGTTTTGGGATGTCATTGATAGTAATTTTATCCTTAAAAATTTTTGAAGAATATTTTGACTCTTCTGAGCAAAATAGCGTTTTTATCTTCTTATGCGGGCTACTTTGAAATAAGGGATACTTTTACATATAATAATTTCATAACCACTGAAACAAAGGCACAAAAATAGTGGATTTGCATAAATTACGTTCCATGCGTTACGTATCTCTAGATTAATTTCCTGTATAATCCCTCTGACCAATTCCTTTTAATTTTGTCAATCAATATGCTCAGCTTTAACCTTGGAAAATAGGATATTATCTTAAGCCTAATTTTAATGGTTAAAACACTAATATGCACCCACACGTTTGGAGGAAAATTTTCGTTTAAATCGACTCGAAGAAAAAACAGCAACCCTAAATTCAATTTCCTGTTCCCTTTAACTACCCCCTAAATTAAATTTCGTACATTGTGTTTTGTTTGATAAGTTGTAAAGGTAAAAAACTTCTATACTGCAAACTTACTTACTTGAATAAAAAAAGGTTTTCAATGTTAATTTCAATGTATTTCGTAACAATTTTATGCATCACAATTCAAATTGCGAAAAATTAATTTGTCTTCTTTTAAAGAAAAAAAACACTTTAAAACTAACATATTTGAACATTAATTATGGGCTTACGAAACAATATTTTTCTCTGGATTAATTATTCATGACAAGTGAAAACGTATAAAAGGTGGTAAATAAGCTTCCTTTTTGCCAGGTTTTCAGTTTTTGTTGATGAAACAGAAACGTCAGCTTTGATCTTAGCTACCTGTGCATCAGCACAAGTTAAGAAAGAATTATATCTGAAACAATTTAACTAACTACAAACCAGGCCTCGCTTATAAATGCCTGCTTATATGCTGAAAAGTTTCATTCTAAAAATTAATTCGCAGAATTATATATCGATGAAAGATTTTCTAGCCAATATCGCGCCATAGATGCCTATATAAGGTTTTACCACTTTATATGCCATATAAATTGCTTATATGATGAATCTGACTAATTGAATTGGATGTTAATTAATACGTCAAAGTTTTATTAAATTGTTCACTTTTGCATATTTCATTTAAATAAGTTATTACTTCTTTTTCATTGGCAAATTCTATAGATGTATGGATTCTCGGTTGAAAAATATTAACAGATCTATGTAAATCTTGGTCTTGCTTTATTAATTATTTAATTGTTCGAAATAATTTATTAAAAAATTAATAATAAAAAACAAATTCAGGGGACAACTATTTTTACTTCCCTTAATTTCACTACTGTCTGTTTAAAATTTATTCTTTTCAAATAAATTTTGAGATGAATTTAATGTTGCAAATAGAGAAAAACCCATTATTTTCATAATTATTACTGGAACTGATATTTAGTAATTTAAGGCCAATCTGAGTGCATATAAATGTGGATATATTTAAATCTTCATATATTTCTCGATGACTAGAAGAAAATTGGCTAACCTAATTCCCCTTCTGTAAACTCCATTAATCTCAGAGAATTAAGAAATATTGATAACTCATATTATTCCACTATTTACTTTTCCACTGCAGAAGTAATATTTTTAGGCGGTTAGCCAGCCATCTAAATTGAAACACCGATCTAGAAATTTCACTTGTCAAGCCAATAAAAAATGTCATGGACAAAACTTTGCATATTTGACATTTAAACAATAGAATATGTCACTGGGCTTTAAGTATGACAAGTCAAATTCGTAAAATTTGAATTTAATGAACAGTTTATTTATTTCGTCTCTAAGCCACTGCTTAATAAACTAATTATACATTTTTAAATTACAGTATATAAAGAATACGATGGTGCAATTTTTGAATTCATTTGATTTATAATATGGTTTCTTAATTCTATTTTAATCGGTCCATATTCATTTCATTAAGAAGCGTTCTTTTAATTGTATTGTCTATGCCAATAATGTAGGATTATTTAAACAAAAAACATCTTATTCCAATTGAATCTGGTTTTAATGGATTCTAAGGTAATTATGGTAAAACAGTTTGTGATGGCGCCTATAAATATGTGGGTGTAAAACTTTTTTTAAATGCCTTAGGACAAATTTAAATAATATTTAGTATCAATCCTACGCTTAAATTTATTTTGCACATTTTCAAGACAGATTTGCTTTCTTTGATAATACGCATGCTTTCTATCCTTTGTTAGGAATATAGGAGAAAATATTTGGAACATTTAGGTTCTAAAAGTTCAAATCTTTAATAAAAATATAGGCTATTGTGGTGAACTCATATGTTTTATTAGCGTTTTGAAGTGATCTTATTCAAGGCTGGAGATATGTCTTTCAATGTAAATATATTGTTATTTAAGAGTCGCAGAGATATTTAATGATTTTGAATTTAGAAATCAGTTTACGAACTTAGACAGGCTTTAATATTTTGTAACCTTAAATTACGCTTTTTTGCTAAGAAGATTTAATCCGTAAAATTCAATTTAAAATTGGCGTACTAATATAAATGTATATAATATATATAAATAAATATTACATATGAATCGTAAATTAAACATGCATTTGACACTACAATACTTACCTGTTATTCCGGAATTTGAAATGATAACAACATACCTTACTTTTATTTCCTGATTCAAAAAAATGAATATTAATGCCAGCGAATGAAATTATTCATAATTTCTAAAAGGTTAACAAAGCTTTTATAGTACACTAAGGTCACCATTTTCAAGGGTTTTTTAAATTAGCTCCCAGTTTAATTTTTTGAAGGCTTGATCGTAAATTATTTAAGAAATCAAAATGGATGACAATTATTTCTCTTGAACAGAGGGTACAGTGATTAACGTTCTCGCCTGTTAAGTCATGATTCAGGCGATAACTGTCGAGCTTGTCATATGCTGTGGTGTGTGGATACAACCACCCTGCCAAATTCCATTCAACAATTGAATTGTGATAAACCACGTTTCTATAAATACAATTTATGTTTACCGAAAAATAATTTTAAATCAAGTTATCCGCTGGTTCTTACGTAGATTTTGTCTGAATTAATTCAGTTAAAGCGTTTCCTTTTGCAATTTTTCATTAAATCAGTGATTTGTTCATTATATATTTTCATATATAAAATGTAACTTTGTAAAAGTCGATTTGATTATCAAATAAAATTTAAATTTTGATTTCAAACTAAACTTTGTAATTATGTAAAAAATTTAATTAAATTGTTATCATTTATCAGTCAAACGTGAAAATTATTAAAATATATCATGTACATTTTTATTAGAAGATACGAATTTTCAAGTCTTGCACACTTTACTTTGGACTTATAAAGTAAATATACTTTCATTTGGAAAATAAATTTATTTCTGTCGGTTATAACGAGTTGAAATTTTGATTTCATCAATGATTATGTCTGCAATTAGGTTAGTCAATTTTCGGGTATTAATTAGAAAACAGGTGGTAAATCTTTATTGTGAACAAAGTATTGGGGTTATTAAACTAAAACTCATTTTTTGAATTGTCAGTGCAAAAATCACTTTTGGTGAATTTACTTTTGCCGGTTATAATTGAAGTATTTTCAATGACTTTGTATTTACTTCCAAAGAGATTTCATCTATTTTTATATTTTGATTTCTAAATAAAAATTATAAAGGAATATTAATATCATATTTTATCTTTATTTTGACATGTAAGCCGTCATTTTAGCTTTTTCCTTTGTAGAATATCAATATTTAATAATTTTAAATGAAGAAAGGGACCTTATCATTGAAATATAATATGGTTCGTTACTGGTGGTGAACTTGAGATTCGGTGCAATTCGTAAATGCTTATAAACAACCAAACTAAAGCACAATAATTTTGAATGAGTTTAAGTCCTCAGCTTATTAAGAAGACTTTTCATCCATGATAACAAAAACGGCTACCTGATAATGGCCATGTCTTAAAAAGTAAGAAAGCTCACTTATAGCTGTTTCTATATCTTGCCCAAAATAACAGTTATTAGATACTTTGGTGTATGGAAACACCGCTCCTTGATTTCATTCAATATATATAACTAAGTAATCGTTATTCTAGATAGGGAAATCCCGATCTTAATGATTCCTAACTGTCGGCACCATCATCAACTATTAGAAAGTGACCCAAACTGTGCCAAAACACAACCCTCGACTCCTCGACGGCGAAGAAATCGTTCATTTACACCAAGCAGTTCCCCTTCTCTGTCCATGTGTCAACATAATCTCCATTCTCAGAACTCTGTGACAATCGATGTGCCTATTGAATATCTTGAGGATGCACCTCCCGTTGACGATGACGGAAATTCACCATTCACCATTTCCGAAGATTTCCATTCCCATGCTCCAAGGGACTGCCTATACTCTTCCTATCTGCGCCATCGTCTTCGAGAGACTAGAACAAGTAGCCTGGATGACGATACTTTACAGAACTTTCAACACCCCAAATGTGTACTTGGTGCACGTCGAAGAAATCCATTTATATGTAAAGCGCTATCGATCGATAATCCATATTTCGAAGAAACATTTGGTAAGATTTTAGTTAATTATGTTGAAATATGCTCAAATAATTGAAATTAATTATGATTCATTTTTAAGAAATATTAAACAATATTTGTATTTTAATTTTCACTCCGCTCCGCTATAACCACATTAATTTGAAACTAAATTCATATGTTACCAATATTGAGATATATATTTATAGATATGAAATCGTTTATTAACTATTTGCATCTTGTGAAAAAGAATTTTCGTTATATTTTTAGAGAGTTAAATTTCAAAATTCACGTGTTCCTTGTAGACATTAATTCCATCAAGTGTCTTCACTTGACATTTGAGATACTATTGGAGATATGCTCCTTTTAAAGGATGGATGGGTCTTATTTAAACCATAATTCGAAATATTCTGAAAATTACACGTCTTTTTCAAGAAAATGTGCAAATTGGATTAGAAAGATTGACGAATGGGGAGAATTAAAACGTTCATTAATAAGCTATTTACCACAATAAACTATCATTTTATCGTTATGCCAAATGACAGACCTTATGATATTTGTCATTAGCCTCTTAGTTGACTTAGGCCTTCACACGTACAAAAAGTGAGTTTGTATTGGATTCCCATCAATTAAAGCAATCAGTACTTCCTCAAAGCTATTATTACGCAATAACTTGTCAGTTCAAATAAACACAAATTAATTTGCTCTTTATTCACTATTTATAGTATTTTGCAACCCATTTAACATGCCGAAATTATATTTTATGGTTATTTTTGAAATAATTAAGTGAACCTGGAGGTGATTTCTAAGGGTGCTCAATTTGTTTTCCCACTGAGCTGTTTCTCGACTTTAGGTCCACACTAGGTCACAATAATTGCTGTCATGCAAGAATTTCAAATAATACGGGGAATTGAGTAATAAAACCTTATTATCAGGCAAAATTGAAACCTTGCAAATTAGTTTAAACCCTGGTTGATAGGAATTGTATGTTAGCTATATTGCTAATGCCGGTATAATAGTAATAGATCGCAAATATATAATACTTAAATAAAATAAGTACTGCCTATTATTTGCCATATTAAACAGTTACAACTGATGACCTGAAACGCTTAAAAAAGAATTATGTAATTCATATTAGAAAGAAAAATGTATTATAAATACCAACCCTGCACATCTTATTCTACAAATTTTGAATTTTTTTACATGAAAAAGTTAATTCATTAACGAGTTGACCACACCCTAGTTAAGAAAAGGGTTATATTTATTTGCCAAATTCACAACTTTAAAGCTCTTAACAGTATAAAAAATGTAATATGCATGACATCCAGTGTAATCAATCTTTCTCTATGTCTTCAAAAGACCGTTGGTCGGAGATTTTTCTTTTTAAACATGATTTACTTTTTTCATGTAAATTTATATATTTCATTTTAGAAATAATTTATTTAGTTCTTTGCATGCCGATGACGGGTCGCCATGAAAAAATATCAATTTAAAATAAAGTTATTAGTCTATCAGTCATTGCTTAAGGCGTCTAAAATTAAATGATTTAATTTTTTTACCAAAACACTTTCAACTAGTGTAGGCACTTAATTTCAACGAAAGTGAATTTCATCGAATAATTTAATATATGCGTAAGCCATCCATTTTATTCACAGTATGAAGTCAGAAATTTAGATAAAATTGCTTGAGAAGAGAGAAAAAAGCAAGTAGTCATAGGAAAGAATATTTAAGGGCGTTAAACAAGTTATTACTTGCCTCATTTATGCCGCATTTTCCTTACAATTTTTAAAACGATTTCTTAAGTAAAAGTGCTATAATAGTAGTGAGAATATTAAACGATTACTTGAATGGTGCATTAAAAAAACAGATAGTAATCTCATATTCATCTTCTAAATTACTTTTGCACCCCAACATGTTAATAAAAATATTCTCTGGAAATACATTTTAAAAATAATATATGTGTGTGTTTAGGAGTGATAAATATTTTTAAAATTTTCACAAATACCTTCTAGAAGAAAACTATAGAATACATATGCAAACGTCAAAATTAAGGAATTCAATAGAACTCACACTAAATAATTTCCTTTTGGTTTTTTGGATGAGTTGAACTTTGTCTGAAAAATTCAATTAGCTAATGATCCTTGGGCTAAAAATAGGAATGCCTAAGAATCCGTTTTCTACTCTTCATTCAATACCTTTCTTGTTCACCTTAAATTATGCTTTGAAAATGGTTTGCACCATGCAAGCAAATGAAACAAAATTTATATTTATACTGATAAAACTTAGAATAACGGTATGGGATAATATAGATAGCTATTACACAGAATGGTAAAATTCTCGTTAGCATTCTTAAACCTGAACGCCCAATCAGCCATACGTATATGTTCCTAGCCAATCAGGTAAGAGGACAAGAAAGAAGCATTAATTGCAGTGCTGAACTTATTTCGCTCGATAACAACTGGAATTAAGTTGTGGGGTGTCCATTATCTGGTTCATCACTAATGGATCGTTCTCGAAAATTTTCTGCAGGTGACTCCCACTTCCAAAGCGTGCATGGACGACCTTCCGAAAAACCCTACCTCCAAAGTATTCAAAGTTGTACAGCTGAGGAGGAGGATGATTCAGATAAAGTAGATCCTGCTTCTGATCTCCCCTTCTCCAATCCCAGATCCGAACTCGTTCTAAATACACCTGCAATGGATCTGAACTCAGCCCCTCAGGCACCTGGCAGAATCTACAAACCTCGTTTGCACAGATCAGTTACCATTGGAGCCGGAGATTCAAATGTTGATGAAATTGACGTCGCTAACTCTCCTACTCTTCATTCTCAAGTCACACCTCAATTTCGTACTCGAGGTGCACTTCAAAAGATTCGATGGACTTCTAGAATTGCGCGGATGAAGTCCCTTCAGAGAAGTCGTACCATTGATACTAGGGGAAATACAGTTCAATGGAATCGTGGATCTCTAGTAATTAGTCCAGATATAACTGTTAGGACAAGTGAGGATGAACTTAGTGAATTTCAGCATCTTCCTGATTCACGAGAGAACCTCAGTTCCAGATCCCCTAAAGATACAGTCCAGCACGAACATTTGCTCAAGCATCCGAGTTTATCAAAAAGGTCACGGTTAGATGCTGGAACGCAATATTATTCCCAATCTTCATCAATTGATGCTGATCAGGTTTGTCCAGCTGAGATGGGCAAAAAACTAAAGGTTTCAATAAGTTTTGCTACAAGTCAGACTAATGATACCGGTTTGGAAGCCCAAGCATCAGTTGAAAGTCAAATTCCTTCAAATGCTGCTGCTATGGCAGACGGATATGTTGAAGAACTCTGCGATCCCAGCAAACAGAGCACATCCAGTTACTTGAAGGAGCAGTTCTTCGCTTTTTTTCAACCCTCTGATAACAAATTGGCAATGAAGCTTTTTGGAAGCAAAAGTGCACTAAACAAAGAGAAACGGAGACAACAGCAACATGGAAAGTGGATTATTCATCCGTGCAGTAGTTTTCGGTAGGTTCGTCTTCGTGGCAGTTACAATATTTATTTACATCAAATGGCAGGCGTTTTGATAGTTATCATTAGCCCTTTAGCTGACATCGGGCTTCACAGAGTGAAGGAGAAACATCAAGGTGACAAAAAGAGCTACGGGCTTCACAGAGGGAAGGTTCATCAAAGTAGCATAGTTCGGGCTTTACAGAGGGAAGGTTCATCAAAGAAGCAGAAAATCGGGCTTCACAGAGTGAAGGAACATCAAAGCAACAGAAAGTCGAGGGGTGGGGAACAGAAAAGTGATTCATAGACGTAAAAGGGGCAGAGAGATACAAAGTCAGAGAAAAGGCAGGATGATTACTGTGTAAGCAGTTGAATATGGCATACAGTGGGGTCATGGTAGTTTAAAGTTAGAAGACAACTGCCAGTTAATTGCCTTTTTTGCTGTATGAGTATACATTGCCTAGGGTGCACCACGAGGAGATAAGTCTATCGCGCAGCCCAAGTTACAAAATTAAAGCTCGAAATGCAGCAGTATTTTCAGAATTACATGAAAAATGTAGTGAAATATTAAATGAGAATTAAATTAGGCTTTCGTAAACTAGAAATAATTGCATTCAAAATTATTTTGATTGCGCCTAATAAATAGATTAAATCATTTCAAATTTCTTTGCTTAAATTGATTAGTTTAATTAGAATTTGTATGTGCTCATAGTAATTCAAATTTTCCTAAATCTCCGAAATGGTTTTTGATTGCAAATTATGCACACTTGTTGACATGAAAATTAAAAAGTTGGCACAATTTTAAGAAATTAAATGGCCATTTTAATTTTAAGAGCTGACTTAAACTGTATCATTAAAAAACTTGGCTCAATTCGGGGAATAATTATCTGTTAGTTCCAACAGCAGTTTGCATAATGAAATCTGCCATGAGGATAGTCGCTCAAAACTATTTTTGTCATTTGATGGAGCTTTATATCATGAAGCTACTCAAATTTTGTTCATATTTACAAATTCCGTTTTAATCTATTTATCTGATAATTCTCATTTGCGAAAAATAATCAACAGTTTAAATTTTGTTAGTCATTTACGGTTAAATCAGACCTAGCTTTAACTTGATATACAGCCAGGTAATACAACATTGAAGGATTTGTGCAATATATGTTTGGAAAAATATGGACTAGAAAAATTAAATTTCGATACAACTAAGATCATTGAATATTATCTGTTCAGGAAAGCACACGTTTTGAACCTAACCGAAACCTATAGTGGACTACAAACCTTAGGTTTATTTAGTCTAAGAATGCTCATATTACACTACCAATAATCTTAACTTGACCTTTGAAGAAGTCCTTAAATTTCATTCTCTCCGACTAGGTCCTACTAGGTCACGTTATAAATAATAGCATTTTGGCAATACTACTCTAATGCGTTCTCACTTTAATTTGGGGTCTGCTTTGTTAAAACTCCATGAGGTCTTAAAGAAATTATTTTTTACTAACAATCCCATTCATTTAAAAATATTAATGCAAACAACTAAAGTTGAAGAAAAAATATGATCAATGGCTTTTTTTACCTCTGCAAAAATGAAATTCATTGGTAAGTGGAAAGGGATGAAATGAAATAGACGATCCAGTTTTTTGGTCTCTTTGCCGAGAAGGGCTTAAATTAAGTACGCTTTCACAAAATTTGAAATTACTGCTATCTTCTTAATGAATTTAAGTAATTTCAAAAATTTAGTCAATTAAAAGAAATTGGAAAAAAGAAACTAAAGCAGAATTACTTCAGGTATTTCTAACCGCCCTAAAGCGCATTTCTCTCATTCACTCTGAGATTAATTTAAAAGGAAAGATTGATAAATTCACCAAAGCCATTTACTTAATGCACTGACCTTTCGCATTTATTGATAAATGCATGGTGATAAATTGGCAAAACAACAGGGTTTTGAATCCACTTTTTTAATTAAATGCATACAATATATTTTGGTAGAAAATTTTACTGTCACTAAAAATTGTAAAAATTTTTTTATTTTCAGGAAAATCGCATTGAAGTTAAATTTAAAAATGTCCGTTTTATTTATTACTAGAAAAGAGCTGGAATTGGTTCAAAGTCGATTTATTTCATCCTGATGATTAAAATAAACAAATCCTGAGAAACGGTAGTTAAGACCCTTGCTAAAATAGTATTTGCACCTTTTGCACGCAACACTCCAGACCATTAGTACAAAATAAATAAATAAATAAAATTCCGAATTGATAAACCATCTTTTGAAATAGTTGACTTAATCGTCAAGCAAGATGTGTACTGCATGTTTTTGGCTCTTTACTGAATTTTTAATGAAAATGAGAAATGCTAAAGCAATATTTTTATGTGAGGAGAAATAATTCGCAAAAAATAAAACTTGAGAATTTTTTGACTGAATTTCTTTTTCAAGACATTTATTCTCAATTTAATTGAGCAAAGAAGTAAAATAAACAGTAAATAAGTATATAACTATTTGAAAAATAGTAATAAAAATATCATAAAAAAGTAGAAAGGACAAGTTAAATTGATTTGAAAAATTCTTCATGATTTATCGTCTTGGTCAATGGTAAGAATTTTGGTTTTGGGTTTGCTATGGTGTGAAAACACTTTATCATTTTTATACGCTTTGCAGTGCAAATGATCTGTGAATCATGAGTTTGGAAAAAAACATCTAAAATGGGAACATGATAAATTGTTCAGTTGACTGTGAAGGATACGTAGGTATTTATTCAAAAATATACTTAATATCAAATAATATTAGTTGATTAAAACTTTTTCTTCATTAAATCAATCATATTTTAACTAATGGCATATTTAAGGTTTCGAAGTATAGAATATCGTGCATTTCCAATACTCAATAATTTAGTTGCCTTAAAACAGTCAATTGTCTGATTGAACGTATATGCAGCCCGTTGAAACCATAGTAAACATTTTATCCCAACGAATGTTATTTTAAAATTTAGTTTAAAGTTTGCAGTTAAAAGCCAAAACCATAAAGTTAAATGTTAAGACTAACAGACTGAAAATGGAACGGGCGACTTTATGATACAGCATTCTACGATTACATAAAATTAGATCATAGTACTAAATGAATTGAGAAAGAAATTGGTTCAGCATCACTATACCTTTTGAAGGAGGGAAAATATTTCTAAGAATTTGAACGTCAGAAGTAAACGTTATACTTCATAAATGACAATATATACGTCAAATGGATTAATCACTCTAAGACCTCCATCAGAACATGCACTTCCATTTTGCAAGAATTCATGTCTTATGCATCGTTTTGTTCATTTTGCAGTATGAAAAAAAGTAAAGAAGAAGTAAACATTTAGGCTTTACTATTTACGCAATAATAACATTTCCTTGGCCTTACTTAGTTAGATTGGTTTAACTATAACATCATTTTTTCATTAAGAAACAACGCTTACCATTGCCCACTTATTGCCTTATTCCAGATTTTACTGGGATCTTCTTATGCTCACCCTCCTAATAGCAAACCTCATTATACTTCCTGTGGCCATATCATTCTTCAATGATGACCTTCGACCACAATGGGTAGTTTTCAACACTGTTTCCGACGCAGTCTTCATAGCGGATATTGTGGTTAAATTTCGCACAGGTATCAATTTTGGCTTCATTTATTAAATTTTATGTCTTAACTCTTCAAAAATTATTTCCCAAACGAATTGAGGCAAATTCGATCATTATTTTATAAAATGACCTATCACTGCTATAAAGCGCATTTTGATCTAGCTATATAGGGAATATGTTCTTATTGTCTTCACTGTCATTAAGATAAATCAAGATTCATGACAAAATCGCGTGTAATTAGAAAATTGAAAACAACATAGTTAAGGTCAATATTGCCCATTTCAGCAAACGGAAACGCATAATTATAAATTCAGAGGTAGTTGTCATTATGTTAGCTTTTGTTGACGAAGGTTTTCGACGCCTTTAGTGGTTCAACTAATTGAAAACAAGGTATAATAGTGGTAGTGAAATGTTGACGACTAGATGTGTAGACAAATGGCATATTTACTTTCATATCTTAAATTTTGGTTAATTGTGAATGTCTGAAATTTAGGTATGTGAAAGCATGATATCAATCTTTGAGAACAGCTAGTATATTTATATTTTATTTGGAGAAAACCGAACGTCTAACTAGGTTTTAATTAAAAAAGTTCATTGCAAAAATATGAAATTTACACCTTAATGAGACTATGTAAACTTTATAATTTTATAATATAAATGTTCGGCAATATTTGAAACTGAAATAGTGCACCGTTTGAAGTTATTTATAAGTTTGCATTTAAAAGAATTTCGTTTCAAGGTGCACAAAGTAATAAAGTAAAATAATATAATAAATTGCATTAAAAACACAAGATTCCAATTTTAAATGTTAAATTCTTCTTAAATATAAATGTATTGCAACCTTGTTCAAAAATTTAAAACAAAATAGGAAAATTAATTATAGTTTACAGCTGAAATCAAAATTGTCAAAACAATTGAAATCACCATATTCAAATCCATCTTAATTGATCAAGTTTAAGCATTGCAGCTCGTGCCTCAATTTTAAATCGAAATTCAAAATTAAATTACTCATTTTTTACAGTTTGTTCTGATTTTAATGCTTAAATAAATGATCTCTATGTCAACTAGTTATCCAAGCTAGGGAGTTATCATTAACGCTTTAATGGTAATTCGTTATTCAATTTAGTAATCCCTTTGTGCACTGTTTGTGGAGGGGTAATTAAATTTAACAGACTGTGAAATAGCGCATTTTCTAATTAAATCGGCTCATGGCAGCTGATTAAAATATCCATGTAGATTAATCTATTCTTTATGAGTAGAACATTTAAACCCTTTTCAAAAAGACAGAGAAACCGATGTATTAACGATATGTCATGACCTGATTTTTTCATCATTTTCCTCCATAACACAGACAATGAGATATTTGCGAACTTAGATCAGCGAAAGCCATGTGTTAGAGAAATAAAAAACGGAGCAAACAATGCAATTGGAGTAGAAAAAACATAGTTTTGTCAATTAGCAGAGCACTGATTTATCTAATTACTTTCAATGAGTTGAACAGCTCAGGCTCTTAATATCCTATAATTAGAATTTCTCTATTTATTCGCATAGTATCCGGAACAAATACATTTCGATCAGAAACTAAAAGCTGCTCGAATCAATTCAGCATTTGTTTATACCATTTGAGTAAATATAAACGTCAATGAAATTGTGCATATTTTGTACATGCAGCAATGGTCTTTACCACGAAACTAACTTAAATGATTTAGTAAATAAGGTTCAAGTTACTTCTTTTTAGTATATTGACTTGCAGGCATCTTAATAAATTAATTTTATCAGTTTTTTAATGGAAAACCACAACTTGCTCTTTAGGTATCATAACAAACGATTATGCCGACGATATCATACTTGATCCGAAGGAAATCGCTCGTCAATATGTGCGATCGTGGTTCCTTCTTGATTTCATTAGCTCAATTCCCCTGGATTACATCTTCCGAGTGCTCAATAAACATGAAAGCTACAATCAAATTTTTTCTGCAGGTTAGTTTGCCCTACATCCTTGTTTTTATATGCTCGCTTAATCAATTATATTTTGGACATAAAATACCATGCATTGATCCCTAATAAATTTTGTTTTCAACAAAGGTCGAACGCTACGAATCTTGCGACTAGCCAAATTGCTCAGTATGATCCGGCTTTTACGACTATCCCGACTGGTGAGATATGTCAGTCAATGGGAAGAGGTAATATTAACCTCATTTTTTTTCTTTCTCCCTAATTAGCCTCTTATCATTTCTCATCGAATTAGTTTGGGAGCTAGCAACGCGTTTTTATGCTTTGAATGGTTAATTAGTTTATGGGTATGAGAATAACTAAATCTTGATCGCTGCTGATGGGATTAATTTGATATTCCTATCACCCGTCATCACAGTTAATTTCTATTTAGTGAAAATAATATTGGAGTATTCGAGTTGTTTAATATTAATAAATATTATAATGAGAAGTTATCGATGGTGCAGTAATTGTGCTATTTTAACTTAATATTTACTAAATGCTGGTTTTAGAATTTTTTATTTAATTTTTATTAGAGTTGAAACAAAATTATTTTTCTAAAGAATTATTTCCACTGGTAGTCGAATATTTCCTTCTAATATGCTCTATTTTTTAGTAAGACAAATTTGTTTTATTGGTCTATAATCGATATTACCCAAGACGCAAAAACTATCAGTGACTTGCCAAGCTAAGTATAATACCCGAAGAATTTTAGATTGCTTTAATTTTGAAATCAAATCGACTTTGAGAACGTGACAGATTTAGGCTCCAACATCGTCCTTAAAGAAATTAAGAAAAAAATGTCAATTCAGAAATAAGATTACTATTGAATGAGTAAAAATTGTTAATCATATATCTTAATGACTAATTGCCGATATTTTAAAAAGGAACTTGATATACATTAGATGAGGCTAAAACAATTTTCTCAATTAAGAATTATCTATTCCACTTATCACTAGCACTTAAGGAAATAAATGGTTAAAAATATGGTAAAAACTGTGAAAGGTCATTTTTTTCCTAATACGAGATTTTTAAGTTTGTGCAAAATTCCTTAGCTTAATTTAATGGGTCTTCAATTTCTTCTATTTTTTAGTTTCTCAATATCGCTAGCAAGTTCATGGGTATTTTCAATCTTGTTTTACTCATGCTTCTACTTGGGCACTGGAATGCTTGCCTTCAATTTCTTATTCCTTTGCTCATGGACTATCCCGAGGACTCCTGGGTTCAACGGTGCCGTCTTAGGGTAAGAAAAAATTTCGATTATGAAAATCAATAAAAACAACATAATACTGACTATCTGGGAGTTGGTGAATAGGACCCATGACACAATATGCTGTGATGAATATTGCAGTTGAGGCTGTGAAAGTGAGAGGATATGGCTGTTTATATGGATGCTGCAATTTCGAAAAAATTGAACTGTGAACTGCAATTACATTTTCACTCGAGCATGAGACGCTGATACGATTGTTCTCTTACTCACCAAAGCTAATTTATTTCTCATATGGAAAATCACATATCGTGTTCCCTTAAAACTATCAACTTTCACGAAGGGTCGTAATTATTTAACTCTAGTGTTTCCTAAGATTTGGCCCTAAATAATTTTGCAATGCCTTAAGATATAATTACTGCTTTCATATGAGGCTAAATCTCAGGGCTCGAGTTCTTCAAATTAGATGCCAGTGAATTGGATTGTTGATTATTTTGGCCGTCAATTAAACAAAGATTAATAAAAAAGCTCTGAGCTAATATAATCAAGCATGATATATATATATATATATATTGGGTTGGCAACTAAGTCATTGCCGTTTTGGTTGACGGATTCACTCTATACTTTCTTTTGTTTTGTTAACATGGTCAGAGCATCTAACCTATATTTTTTTCTTACCGTATGGGCTTCTAGGTTAATTAGTAAAAAATTTTTTTGTTTAGTTCTTTAGTTTTGTTTTTATCCCAATTTAAAAATGAAAGGACATGACGCGCACTTCCGACACATTTTATTGTATTACTTCCGAAAAGGCAAGAACGCATCGCAAGCACAAAAGAAGTTATGTGCCGTATATGGAGATGAAGCCGTGAGGAAGAAAGGCAGTGTCGAAATTGGTTTGAAAGATTTCGTTCCGGTGATTTTCCACTGAAAAATTCACAACGATCTGGCCGCCCAGTCGAAGTGGATGAAACCCATATCAAGGCCATTATCGATTCAAATCGTCACAGGACAACACGAGATATTGCAGAGAAGCTCAATGTGTCACATACATGCATTGAAAAAAAATGAAAAACCCTTGGTTATGTCAAGAAACTTGATTTATGGATCCCTCACCAGTTAAAGGAAATTCATTTGACGCAACGGATTAGCATCTATGATTCGCTACTGAAACGCAATGAGAATGATCCATTTCTGAAGAACCTAGTTACTGGCGGCAAAAAGTGGATAGTTTATAACAATGTCGTTACTCGCAAGAGATCATGGGTGAAGCAAGATCAACCAGTCCAAACAGTATCAAAAGCAGCAGAGATTCACCAAAAAAAGATTATGCTGTGAGTCTGGTGGGATCACAAAGGAATTTTGTATTTTGAACTCATGCCACAGAACCAAACGATAAATTCAAATGTGTATGTTGAAGAACTCGAAAAACTGAAAGAAGGATGCAATTGAAGATAAGCGGCCGGCATTATCAAATCGGCGGAAGGGTGTTGTTTTCCACACATCTTTGATAACGCAAGGCCCCCCCCCATATCTTTGGTTACTCGGCAAAAATTATTGGAACTGGGTTGGAATGTTTTGTCACACCCACCATATAGCCCTGACCTTGGGCCTTTGGATTACCATTTGTTTCGTTCCATGCAAAACTCTTTAAATGGTAAAATTTGTAACAACGCGGATGATGTCGGATCACACCTAATTGAGTTTTTTAATAGCAAAGACCAGACATTTTACGAACGGGGAATTTTTACTCTGCCAGAACGATAGAAAAAGGTGATCGACAAGAACGGCCAATATCTAATTGAATAAAGTTATATTTTTAAGCAAAAATTCCGAATTTGCCTTCTTATTTGAAATCAGCAATGACTTAGTTGCCAACCTAATATATAAAGTTCAATGAAGATGCTTAAATGAAATGTTAAGTAAATTAGTACCTTTTGAGTGACTGTTGAAAAATCATAAAAAAGAACGATGTGATGTTTGCAAGTTACTAGTTTGTCATATCAAGTTTACAGGGAATTAATTTAGCATGCAACTAGTCTCCAGTCTAGTCTAGTCTAGTCTCCCACTAAAATTTCTATGAATAGAGTCACGTTAAAATACCAAACTAATTATCAATTAGTCTTGCATTCCTACCGATTTGTCAAATATTTTGTATTTATATTATATTTTATGATATATTTTATTGATATATTATTAGTAAAGTCAGAATAAAGGAAAAATTTTCATTTACATGAGTACCTGGCGAAATATTGGACTAAAATGACAAATTCCAAAATAAACACATGAAAATAATAATAATTATTAAAATTTCATTTGGCAGGCTTTATGATATTTTTCATTAGATGTTACAGCCGAGATAAAAAGTTTTTTTTGCAGTTTGAGTATACGGTGTTAAGGATGCACCATATGGAGGTAAGTCAATTATACACCCTTTAACTAACTATCAAAATAATGCTTTTAAATGTATTATTGGGAACAGTTATGAAAACAATAGGCTGTTAATTGCCTTAAATTTCCTTATGCGAAATAAGTCGTTCAAGTTAATTAGCTAAAAGCACGTAATATAATTAAGTTTTAAGTATGGGCGGAAAGCATTGAAAAAAATTATATCTGAGAACCATGCGCACATGAAAAGTTAATCTGGAATTATCTATTAAATAAGAAGGATTTTTTGTTTATAATATCATTTAACATTTTAACTTGACTACTTTTAAAACGTATGAGGATAAAACGGAAATTAATATAATTGCTTGAATAGAAAATATATCACCTGTTTGAGATCAGGATTAGGCCCTTTAATTTAAATGCAGATTAGTCAGTTAATTATGAAATTCTAAAAAATTATTCATTCTCAAAGTGGCCTATTTAGAGGTTTATAAGTATTTCTTTTTAGTAAATAAACCATTATGATAATAATAAATATAGTTAATAATCATTAGAAAATGTGATACAAGGTCGAAAATATAACCTCTTACGATGATATGACCCCAATCAACCCAAACTTTTAAATATTTTTCTTCCAAAAACCTGTTTCACTAGCGAATTTTAATATTCAAAATTATAGATGTATATAAGATTACACAATTGCGCCTTAAGAACTGAGAAGATATGGCATCTATTTAAAAAATAATAATCCTCTTAATACTATTGTTTTAGCTGTAATGGGTAAACGAATAGCTATGCTTTGAACTAGGACAAAATGCCATTATTTTAAAAAAAATTAATGCTCTTAAGACAATTTAATGGGTAAACGATGAGTTTTGAAAACACCGTTCTTGAATGCGGCTGGACACTAAAGCATAATGCATCGGACTTAAACTAGGGTTTTTGGAATATTTTTGAATAAGTCTTTACACTTAAAACATTTATATTTCAAACGACAAGGGAGTTTGTTCAAATTCTTTGGTAGTAAGCTATTCTACTTTTTTTTGTTTGCTCACTGAAACTAACCAGACTGCAGTTAACGGAAGTTAAATAATTTATCCATAGTTATAAAGATTTGGCGAATGGCTTTATGCTCTCCAATTAACATAGACCCAAAGAATAGGACTCACGTCCACAATTGAGTAATGTGCAAAATAGTATACGATCAAATGATAAGACACTGTCTAACGGAATTTGATAGGAGGAAGTGTGACGAGATTTATTCTTTGAAATTTTATATCTCAGCTTGAATGTTTTTTTAAGCTAATGGTAACGCTGAGAGTAACAAATTGGCAAAAAATATGTCATCATTACTTATAACTTCAAAGACTAATGCAACCATAATTCATTCAAAGCATAAGACTTTAAACTGTAAAAGTTGTTGTTCTAGTATCGTCAGGTTTGCTTCAATATCCTTTTGGTCAGAATTTGCTCTATTAAAGACATGAATTTTTATTTGTGTCGATTGTTGCAATGACAGCCCAGTTAAATTTAGAACTGTTTTGCTTTCTTAGTAAACTAATTGCAGTCATAACTCTGTGCAATCATTTCTCATAGTAATTATTGATATTGATTATTCAGAGATTTACAGTGAAAGCATCTTTCTATTTCATGAATCATTCTGACATGATATAGCAATGATAAGTCTCTCTCTTATTATCTAAGTAAATATTAATTTTTATTTCTTCTCTACTAAATAATTTTTAAATTAGCGCCTCTGTTCTAATTTCACCCCCCATTTTACGCCAAAATAAAAATATTTTGTTTTAGTACTGTTTCCTTGAACGTAAAATTGTTTTTTGAATATCTTCATTCGGGTCTTTTATTATAAGTTACCTCAGCAAAGTTGTTAGACCCCATTCTTATAAGTAAAAAGATGTAAACACAACTATGGAGGTATTTGTTGAAACCGTAAAAATGTATTGAAAGTCCCCGTACATCCGTTATCCAGGTTTATGAATCTGGAAGCGTTACACACACACATATATATATATATATATGAGAGTAATAGGTAAATGAGTCCATCTACAACATCTGTGAATGGCAAAAGGATTGCATATTAAAGTCTCAATCCTCCTTATCGACAAAATGAAGAATAAATCATACAAAACCATGGTAAATGTCATGGTGGAATTCCGTTAAGTTGTTCAGATTTTGCCTCGGCTGAAAATAATGAATAATTACTAGACTTGATGCAGGTAGGGCACATTTTATTCACTTACGAATTTTATATCACTTTTCCTAGAGATGGTAAATTGTAATTTTTGTTAAAAAAATATACGCAATTTGTTAAATATTTTTAATTATTTAAGGAAATTTTGTTGCTAACAGTGCAAAAGGAATTAAAAAAATGTATTTTATTTGGTAATTTGATCTAAAAAATATTATATTGTGCTGGTCTAAACAGTTTATTACGTTTTTGCAAGATAAGATTCAATTCCGCAAAGTTATTTCCTTATTCTGTTACAATAAATGAAAAAATAAGATATCTATCTCTGTTCATAATAAAAAATAAACAAATAAAATATTATAATTTTTAAAAGCCATGTAAGATCTATTTATTCCCTCATATTTGTTGCTTACTGCTTAGAAATCAGACCCGGAACTTTATTGGCAGTTTTTAAAAGAAATTGAAATTTGCATTTTTCATATTTTACCCCTTAGCTAAAAATAACCAACAAGGTATGAAACTAACTCATGATGAACACGCGCTAAATTAAGACCAACGCCTAAATGAAATTTGACGGACATGGAACGGATTCAATTTGTAATTATTGATAGCTTCCACTTTGCAGGATGCTGACTGGTTCGAGCAGTACACGTGGGCGCTATTCAAAGCCATGTCACACATGCTGTCAATCGGGTATGGACGCTTTCCTCCAACAAGTATAAGCGAGGCATGGATAACCATCGTGAGTATGATGACTGGAGCCACTTGCTATGCCCTTTTCGTGGGTCATGCCGCTGCTCTTATTCAGTCTTTCGATACTTCGAAACGATTGTATCGAGAAAAGGTGAGTTGTAATTGGTCATGATTTAATTCGAACTCAGCTATAAGTTAAACATGCTGGAGGCTATAAATTTGTTGAACTAAAACTAATAGAGATACCGTTTAGTATCCAAAAGAAGGCTTTGTTTGCTTGATATCAAATCTGAAATTCTAGACATCATAGCGATAATTTGAGAATATTTAGGATGATATTGCTTCTATAGGCGTATGTATAAAGGTAGTGCACCTGACAGTCCACATAAATGCTACTTCGATTGTACATAAAACTAACTAAGATGAAGCCTTGTTGGTAAGTATATTTCAATGTTCCCGCAAAATACCTCCTAATCAGTGAGGTGTTCTAAATTCAGAGGCTTAATACATTTACTTGCCTTTCTGGGTTCTCTACGTTAGTTGCTTTAGCGACATCAATGGCAATGCAAAAAATTGTGGGCAGCTTCAAGTAGGTCACTACTTCTTTTAGCATTATATATATTTCAAATTGCAGGCGTTATGATAGGTATCATTAGCCCTTTAGTTGACTTCGGGCTTCACAGAAAGGAAGAGGAACACCAAAGTGGAAAAAAAGTCGAGAGGGAGACAGAATAATGATTCACAGACGTAAATGAGACAGGCAGACAAAGGTAGAAAAAAGGTGAGGCGAGTACTGTGGAATTAGTCAACTATGAAATGCAGTGGGGTCTTGGTAGTTTGAAGTCAGAAGTCAACTGCCGGTTAACAGACTTTTTTGCAGTATGAGTATACGTTGCCCAGGGTGCACCGCGTGGAAGTAAGTCTATCGCACACCCCCTTTTAGCATTATTAATTTTGGCTATCGAATCATGCTTCAGCATGTGAGATAATCAACTATTACACGATCCAACATCCTAATTTTAGTAATAACATATTTGGCTGAAGCTCAGAGGGCGTTTTCAAAATAATGGATAATTTTTTAATTTAAATCTCTTTAGTTACAAAATTGCCTGCTTGCTAATAACGCTAGTTAAATATAAAATATTCCCAATTCACAAGATGTCGCAAGTTACTTTGAAATTACACCAACACGAAAGGAAAAAATGGTCTGTATAATTGTACTATGAAAGATGGGGATCTTTTAGTGGCAATAAAATTTGCAAATGCAACATGAAATGCATTGCCATTTCAGCTCCAGTCATATTTCCTTTCTCTTAATCGGTAATAATTATGACTACGTATTAATGTGTCATCCGAATAATTGAGATTGATTGAAACTCAATTAGACACTGGAGTCTTCTAAGTACATCAAAACAAATGCATCAAATACATGATTTTCAATTTAATATAACTCAATGCAATGCCAGGATTTACTATTTACTTCGCAGAATAGTTTATTAAGAGTTGCAAAAATTCATTTGCTCATTTTTACAAGTTTTTTTACTCTATTCAAAGTTTCCAATTTTTAATATTAGCATTGGGATCTTACTGTAAATGCAGTGATTTGAGTGATTATTCATACTGATTTTGCTTAGTTTTTTTCTCTTTTGACTAATATGAGCAAACTGTGATTAAAATGAAATTCCCTAGTATTCAGTCATGTTGAAATGAACTCGGGCAATATTGATGGACGATATCTGGATTTTCGTCATTTGTATTTACGCGGATATTTAGAGAAAATAATTAATAAATGATAGTTAGAAGATGGACGTTATTCACCGATAAGATTTCGGTTTATTTGAATCATTAAGAAAGAAAGCAACGTACTGTGAAAAATTCTGTGAACAATAGGGTTTTTAAACTTTGACTTATCAAACTTTTATTTATTTTAATTAATTAATTAATTAATGAGATTTTTTATTTTACCACATAAACAAGCATGTTTGCCAAACTTTGGAATACTATATTGTAGTCTAGCAAAGTGTGAACGACTACATCAACACGTTCCTCTAGCATTGATGTGCTTAGGCGCTAAACGCATTCCATTTTATGTAAAACTGCATAGACTCAATTGCTGATTGGCTGAGGGGTTAATGCAAGCATTGCTACACTTTTCAGTATGTTCCATAGTGCATGAGGTTCCTTTGATCAACCTTGAAATCATTAAGCACCCAATACTTTTGTTTTCATTCCAACACATATTTGCCTTCTGTTTATATTATGAGGTTATTTGATGGTTAATGAGTTGTTCATTAATACATAAACTAAAACATATTCCTCTCAAGATAGATATGGCACAGGAAATAGAAATTGGTTTAGCACGAGGCTTTATAGTGCCACAATGTAGAACATACTCACTATCTATCAGCCCTCGCCTATTCCTATTTCTATTCTGCTGAAGTCTGTCACTATGATCGCCAAAATAGTATCATTCTATTGCTCATTTTATGCAAGTAAGGCGAAAAACTTGTGGACAAAACATTAGCATATTTTTATGCCGTAGACTAAAGACATTCCAACCAGACTTTTGCTTGACCAAACCACAGATTTAACTCATAACGGTTAAATTCAGATACATATCATAAAGAAAACAGTCAATTCTTCGAATCTATTAAATTTTTACAATTATTGACTTACGCCTACGTAAATTTAGTTACCCATCAATTATTTCCACTTTCATTTAAGTCAATGCACTTCCAAGTGCCTTTGTCGCCACCCCTTCTTTTCTAGTCAGGGGGATTGCAAAGACTAAGGAGTTATAATTTCAGAATTATCTCCCTTCCTAACTATAGAAATTTCTAACCTTAATCAATAAGCTTAAACATATATCCGTTATGTGGGATTGAAATAGTTTGATCTAATCAGCAAGACGACTTGCAATCGTGATTGTTTAAATCACCGCCTGTGTAATCAATAATCTAAGGGAAACCTGAAATCATCCATTTACTGAGCACTATTTTGCTGGTTTTAGTAAAACTACTGAAATCCCTGCTTTGAGTGGTTGTGCTAAATAGGCGTTTAATTAACAAGAAAAGTGAGTTTTTTTACGTTTTTTCTTAAAATTGGTCAAATTCAACTACCAATTTACATTTTTAATTTAAAGATATACATCTAATTTAAAGTTGATAGTGCTGTTTAAATGATATTTAAATTAAACCAGCATTATTTGTTTAATTTAAATATGGTTTGGCCGTTATTTTGAATAAAACCTGGCAGTGTTCAATAATAATGAAATCTAGTGGTTTGACATTATTTCTTAGGCATAGCAAATAAAGTAATGGGGTGTGTACATTCTATAACTTAAAGCAAATTCATAATAAAACGACAAAAACACATCTATTAAACATTTCAATTAACGTTGTTGATTAAAAATGTATAAATTTAAAATAACCTAAAACTCTTTTACTTTGTTATGGTTGAAAAATTCTAGTGAAACAATCACTATGAAGTAAGCAAACACGATGCAATTTGTGAATAATGGCGGAAAAATTACTGATGAAAAGATAGAAGATTTAATCAAGGTGAAAATTCAATTGAATCTTGTTTTAATACACGCGACTTATTGGGCTCAGAAGCGCAAACCAATATTAAAATCTTCATTATAACTCAATGCCTTTGGAAAAAAGCATTTATTTGCAACATTGAAATTTAATACAAAAATATTCGAATAATACTCGGGTTCTTATCTGAAATTCCTTTCAGACATTATTGCAACGTCAACTAACCGATATAAATTGTAACATAACAGTTTGGTATATTTTAAATGGCTGTGAAGCATTTTCCCAAAAAAGCATTAAAGACCATTTTATTATTGAAGGGAATTAAATTTCCACCTTAAAATTTCAATCTAACGTTGCTCTTTTTGTTAATACTCAGTTTAAGCAAGTTGAGGAGTACATGGCCTATAGGAAACTACCACGAGCCCTTCGCCAACGCATTGCCGATTACTATGAACATAGGTACCAAGGCAAAATGTTCGACGAAGCGCAAATACTGCAAGAACTCTCAGAATGCTTACGAGAGGTACGTTAATTGCATTGTTTGAAAGTGAGTGTGTTTGGCATATTTTCCTTTGAGAAGTCGTTTAGAAATCCAGTCAAATTTGCATTTTTTATGATTTTAGAGTTAAACAAGAAGAAAACAAGTAGGCTTTGAAATAAGCTTATACCTTTTTTGAATAAGGTATATCCAAAACAAAGCTTAGACAGTACTGCGAATATTCACTGAAATCTGGTCAGAAAAGACCGTGTCGCTCTAGGACGTGATTCACAAAATTCCTAATCACTGTGCCAATTTTTAAAAAACACAGAACAATTTATTGCAGGAAATGCACGAAATGTATATGTGATCTATAAAAAGACTACTCACGAGAAAATTAGTATTGAGATTTGTCGCAATCCTGAAATGAATACTGTCCGATAAAATTGATACGACGTAATGCGATATTAGGGACATTATTTAAAAATTACTGTCTGGCCAATTTTAATTTTAGACTATTAATTAGGCCACTTGTAAAATGGTTGGCACACGCAACTTTTATGACAAAGATAGTAGGTAGATAGTAATTAAATTAAATAAGTTTTATTTGATTATGCGTATAAATATTGAGACCGATCATAGTAAATAAGCAAAAAGCATATTTATACAAATTGAAAATAATTTTAAAATATTCTATGATCAAAAGTGTCCAATGGTAAAAATTAGTCCTTTCGCAAATTCCATATTCTGGCTGAAATAATGCCTATATTTATCTATGGGCAAGAATGTACAAATGATATTTATTTTAGATGATTATACATATTAGGAAATTTCAAATGTCTAGAGTGTAAAGTAAAAATTTGGCTATTTGAGACATAGGAATATTCATTTCCTACAAAAGTAGTAGAATCAAAGAGGCGTCAATTTGGAGAGCAGAGTTACTAAATTTGAGTTTTATAATCAGCAGATAATCTGTTTTTTGGTTATTTGTATTATCTGATGCTTCCTGTTCAAATAATCGAGAGTAAATTATTGATTTTTAATCGTCACTTCCCTTTATGAATTCAAATCTAGGGTGCTTAGAAGTTAACGATCATCTGAGCAAATAAATATTAATCTGATTTAGTTTCGAAAATCCAAAAGCTTATTTCTATTGATTGATTTTAGCGAATTCGGCTAAATTTTACTCCATGTAAAACCATGCACATTTTCATTAAAGTCTAGAATCAACTGTAAAATGAAATAAGCCTGAAAGCTACTTTCATCAAATTTTTGAAATACTTATTCAGTTATTGGAAGAAAATGATGATGCAAACGTCCAAATTTAATTAGACTATTAAATACTATCTCGAAATAAAGACAAGTGAGACTTTCCATTAATTTAAAAGCAGATATGAAATTATCGATCTTTATACAAATAAGAATTTTTGGGAGATAATGATTTTCTTAGTTAAAATGTCACTAGTACTTGAAAACAAAACAAAATGCCGAATCTGATAAAATGATGATTTCTCATTATTATTTTTTATTTATCTTTTAACTTTCAAAGAAGTGAATGAAAGACCAGTCAGTGCTTTTAAGAATCCTTCGCTATTCATTAAGCGAAAGCTTTTTTTTAGTATTTTTTTATCTTCAAAGTAAATAGGGAAAGAAATAGGCATTTTGAAGGTCACAATGAAACGCTGCAAGTGAAATTTATCTTCAATTTATAAAATGTTTCAGAATTAAGATGATGAAAACCTTGTAGAGACAACGCGAAATTCTTGATATTTCTAATGCACTAACATGATAATTTCGAGTGCATTATAACAATATTATATAATAATTATTAGTGGCAGCTGTCAAAAGGGTAATGACAAGCTATTGAATGTTCGAATTTCGCTTACTTTAGCCAATCTTCACTGAGGCAAAATAAACTACAAAACGACCGTCTATTGAAATATTATGGTCAAATAGAATTAAGACTCTATCATTTTCCCCTTCTAATAATCATAATTCGTTCATATTCTTGATGGGCACGATCTTAGATCCATTCAATCTTAGAATGTAATTTCTAACCTTTTTTTTACAAATATCGTCTGTAATAGATGCTTGAATGCTTTAATGCCCCACATATACAAGAGGCTGCCCTTATAAATGCAAGTCTTAAATGCAGTCATGTTTTATTCGACTTTGTTGTGAAGGGCGCATTTAGAAAAATGAACGAAAACAAAAGATTCCAGCCTCAATAGTTTTTCGTTATTATCCCTCAAAATCTATCTCTTTGGTCAATTTCTTGAGGCGGCTGTAGCGATTCCTATAATGGAACAAATATTTGATATTAAATTTCAAATTGATCTTTTTACATGGACTATGCCATTTTTTCGAGCGTTTTTGACACTTTGCATTGAGTGGTAACAATGATAACTCTTATTGGACAATGCCAAAACGATATAAACACAGTCGAAGTTAGCAAAATAATCGCTTAGTAATCAAACATATAATTGAAATTATCCGTTTAAATTAAAAAACGAAGATAAACCAACCGGATATAAACCTTGCATTGTTGAGTAGTGTATAAAGAAATCACACCCCACCCCCATAAATTGGGGCTTAAAATGCAGTTCGATTTTTAGGTATTGCAGCTTTTCATAGATGCAAGTAAACAAGCCCTCGCTGTTAGTTTATAAAATAATTCATCGAATTTCAAAGTGTGCTAGTTGCCAAGTAATAAAGCTTGTCATTCACGAGGCCTCAGGTCTTAATACCTCTTTTCAAAAATATCTTGAAGGGTATTTATATCATGTTTCCAAAGTAAAAACTGACCAACTCAAAGATTGATTTCAGTCGCCTAGATATTTACAAAAGACAAATTTCACTCACTTTTCATTTTATCAAACTGCCCTACTTACGAATTTTTGCTTAGAATGCTAGGCGCAATTGCATAACTTAGAATGTTGATAGAAAGAAGAAGTTGGTAAAGAATGTGCTAATAACTGCCATTAACTAAAAATAAGGCAAATTTCTGTTTTAGCAAATTATCAATTACAACTGCCGGGAACTTGTTGCCGCGGTGCCCTTCTTCACTTATGCCGATCAAGATTTTGTTTCAGAGATGGTGGCGAATCTGAAATTTGAAGTCTTTCAACCCGGTGATCTGATTATTAAAGAGGGTACCATCGGCACCAAGATGTATTTCATTCAAGAAGGAATTGTTGATATTATAACCAAGGATGGAGAAATTGCCACAACCTTGTCCGACGGCTCGTATTTTGGCGGTATGTCTTTCCTTCAAGTTATTTTTATGAAGAAAAACTGTTATTGAGGGATGTATGGACTTTTCGATTAACTGATAATTAATTTACATGGCTTACAACGAAAATGGTAGTTAAATTTTTATAGACTTCTGATAGAATCTACATTTTGGTAAGAAACATGATCTGATCAGGAACCCAATAAATCTGCGGTTGAATTGGGCAGTTGAGAAAATCAAGTCCATGCAATCAAAGGTTATGTTGCAAATAAAGAGTAAACTTCATTCATATTTTTGGCATCTAATGTACAACTATATGATTTGATTCCAAGACCCTATGTTTTGTAATTTACTGCATTGATTGTTAAAAGAAAAGATTTAGGAGAAAATGGAACTGTTCGATTTGTAAATAAAGTACAATCAGGGTCATTTTCTGAAGAAATCAAAGTTCATTTCAGTAAGTGCGCACTACATATTATGCAACCCAGATTCCTGACTGGTTCATTTGTTCAGAGTCATTTGTATAATTTCATTTTTCAGGAGGAATAAATTTACATTGCAGTAGTGGACACCCGGTGTAATTTTTATTTCAATTCGCTGCACTGATAAAAACCAATATAGAGGTAACAGACGTACTGGGTTGGACATTTTTGTGTGGAATTTGTGTCATTGACACTTAGCTTAGTTATTCTAAAACCATGAAGGTTTTGTCAAAAAATGCAAGGACAACTGATTGGTGGCTGACTGAAAGGTCACTGTGTCCACGACTGCACTTGCTCCCTGCGTGTCAAGTAGCGCGGTGGCATCTTGAGTCTGCCTGAGTGAGTGCATGGTATTTCTTTGCTCAGCCAAGGCAGTTTTGTGCACTTCATACATTGAAACAAGTTTTCTTGATTGAAATTTTGGTTTCCTAAACCTTTTTTTAGACAAGTAACTAAAATGCATTTCCTACTTTGCAATGTTTTTGACATAATTAGACTATTAAGGCATTTCAATTGAATTGAATTAAAAATGAAGCAGATTAAATTTTTACAGCTGGTTAATTGCAGGGTTTCTAAATTTTGAAGACAGATTTTCTGGACATTGATTAATGTGGCATCTAGATCTATGAGAGATTATTTCCACAGATAAGCAATGAAATATGCTTGAATGCTCCACGCATTTAATTTAATGATTAATAATTTGTTGCATTGAACTATGCATGATAAATTAGTCCAATATTAGAAATATAGGTATTTCATATTTTAAAAGTTAAAAATTTTTAGGCTTTTAAGGCATTAAGTGATTAAACTAAAGTTGAAAATTTTAAAGTAATTTCAACACTTTGAACTATATTCACTGATCTGGCGATCCTTAATGCGTTTCCGACAAGTGATCGATCAAGACAGCTCTTCGAATGGCATATATGCATCACTCATCCTCATTTATTTGACAGTACATTAAGTAAAATGGATTGGCCGGTACCCCCAAGACCCAAAATAGTGTCCTTAGTTCTACTATAATGCACCTAATTCAGCAGTTCAGTTAAAAGAAACATGATTTTATTGATTTATAATGTCAAGTTAATCGAGCACAAACCGCATTATCTCAACAAAGGTTTTTCTATCCATGCAGGGATTAAAAAGAACTTGAAAAGGAAATTTGAGCTATTCGCCGATTACGTTGGATGGAAGAGGGTGAAATTAGAAAATGCTAAGGCATAGCTTAGAATTTAATGTCTGGATTTAGTCAGAAATATCACAGCTTTCTGCATCTGCACACAGCCCACAGTAATCCATCAGTCTATGCTCTTGCTTGATTTTCGTTGGTATTCAAATTAAACACCTATTCAATAAATCGATCAGATTGAATTTTTTTAAAGTTAATCACAACTAATATATTTATTATGGGTAAGGTTTAAATGTCTCAAATCTAAAATTAATCTCGATTTTAAGATAGACTTTAGAAATTGTAACCTTATTTAAAAATAATCTGTTTATGCGGCTATAACTTTAGACTATATGAAAAGTCATATAATTAGTACTATTAAGGGAATAAAAACGTCAAACTGTTGATTCAAACTGTGTTGTTCGTTTTCATTGAATTAAATATGAAAAACGTAAATTCTGTTATTTCTCCTTTATAGATAAAGTCAATAGATTACCACAAATCCTTGACTTCATAGAGCGGATCTCTATGAACTGCGCAAAGCAGCTTAAGAGAAAGATTACCAGCATTTTAGTCGAATGGAAGAAGAGAGTTGTCCGTCCAGTAAAATCACTACTCAGTATCCCTAAATCTGACAGGAATGATCGAGGGTGGTTGGCATTCAAGTCATTTGGCATACACAGAGGAGCACTGACGTTGTGATCTTCAACTTGACAGCTCAGTGGGCTTTCGCTTTTCATTTTTCACCAGTAGAAAAGACTTAATATTTCACAAGAATCGAAGACTTTCTCGAGGCTATGTGGAAAAGTCTTATGCCTATGCTGACTAGTAGAATGTCGAAAAATTAGAACATTTATTGTGAAACTACTTTTCATAATAAGAAATGCTGGTTTTTTATTTGTTAGAAATATGTTTGCTGACAAATGCGAAACGAGTTGCCAGCGTTCGAGCAGA